ATTAATTGTCTGTAAAATAAGGTTGTTTGTAAATTAATTGTCGGTGAATTAAGTTGTCGGTGAAGTGATTTTTGGTGGACCCACTAATCTACTCCTTTTGTTAGGCACTGTATATTTACAGAATCTACAGAATCCACTGTAAATGTTTTTAAATTCGAATTATAATCTTAATATAATTTATAACTTTAAACCATAATCTATTGTCATTACATAGATGATTATAGAGAAGAAAGGCTTAGTTATAGAAGTTTAATACATGCTTAAACGGACGTTGGACGGAACATGCCAAAAAAGGGTTCATTATTAATGTCCCCGCCGTAATCGTTGTTACACGTGTAAGAGGTCGAAAACTTATAAATTTAAATGTACATCTTTAAAATTTTGTTATAAGTAGACCGAGAAAAGCATGTCTACAGTCAAAGTTGGAAAGATTTTGGGTTGGATAGGTTTCTTATTACTCTTCCATTCTGCTTATTCTACTTATGAACGTAGGTTTATATTATAATTTGTAAAAAAAAAAAAAAAACATTTCTGTATTTGTTTTATTAAACACGCTACCTTTTCTAATTGTTTTACTGCTATCAATTTAAATTAGATTTATCTTACCTTAAGGCCGTTGATAAAATACCAAATTATATGCCAATAGAGGTATCCCTTTTCGAAATTTACATATTCAATTAATATCAATCAAATCAACCTTTTTTATTATTATTTTATATATATATATAATATATATTTTTAAAACGATATTAAGATTACGGTAGAATGTCTTGTATCAGTGTCAATTTGTACTATTGGCATAATTTTGGCAGCAGGCCCCTTGAAACCCATTTTGATTAAACATGAGTTATCAAAAAAGTAAGTTCATTAATTTTTATTTTAATTGATTCTAATTGGTAACAATCCTTTTGATAAATTGTCGAATCGAATGAAACTAGGACGATTGATGAAATTGACACACATCCTTCATTTAATACCTTCAATCATCGCGGTAGGCTAATGAAATGTTTTTGATTAGTGTAGTTCTTTTTTTTACATCATATGAAGAGAGATTTTGGCATATTTAATAATTTGTAAGTTTTCACGATATATCTTGGAATGCCAAAAGCTAATAAACAAAAGGGAAAAAAAAATCAAAATGGTTTATTTGGTTAAAAACAAGCCTTATTTTAAATTAATTATAGTTCTTTTGATAAATAGACG